ATTGGTTGGAAAGTTGAATTATCTCACAGTCACTCGTCCGGACATTTCTTTTGCAGTCAGTGTGGTAAGCCAGTTTTTAAATTCCCCTTGTCAGGAACATATGGATGCTGTTATCCGGATTTTGAGATACATCAAATGTGCTCCAGGAAAAGGTCTTGTGTATGAGGATAAAAGACATACCCAGATAATTGGATACTCTGATGCTGATTGGGCAGGGTCACCCATTGATAGACGATCCACCTCTGGGTATTGTGTACTTGTTGAAGGAAACCTTATATCCTGGAAAAGTAAGAAACAAAATGTAGTTGCAAGATCAAGCGCCGAGGCAGAGTATAGGGCGATGGCAATGGCAACATGTGAACTTATTTGGTTAAAACAGTTGCTCAAGGAACTTCAAATTGAAGAAGCAAGACCAATGACACTTATTTGTGATAATCAAGCTGCATTGCACATTGCTTCAAATCCAGTCTTTCATGAGAGGACCAAACATATTGAGATAGACTGTCACTTTGTCAGAGAGAAGATCGAGTCAGGCGACATCGTCACAAGCTTTGTCAACTCTAATGATCAATTGACAGATGTGTTTACAAAATCCCTACGAAGCCCCAGAACTAACTATATATGTAACAAGCTTGGTGCATTTGACTTATATGCTAAGGCTTGAGGGGGAGTGTTGATATTTGTAAATATATATATAAAGTGTTAAGAATATTTGTATATAGAATAGTCCCACATCGACTATATTATGTAATTAGGTGTAATCTATTTATATATAATAATGTCTCCGTAGTGCTTTTCAAAACACACGGTTTATTCATGTCTCTTACTCTCTTATATTTCAAAAATAGGAACAAGCATCTGTCCCCGGGGTATTCATCGGAATTGGCATTTCTCCTCGGAACGCTCACGATAAAACCCTAGAAAATCCCCCTACAGCGGTGGAGATCATCACCTCTCCTCGGGGCATTCAACATACCCCGACCACAGTCTTAAAACAAAAGGGAAAAACGAAAGAAGGAGAAAGGAAACTTACTATATTTTGATCTACGGCGGAGTACGTGGCGGCTGCTGCGACGGAGAGATCAGACGGCGGCAAGCCGACAAGTTTAAGAGCACGGAACTCGAAGCGTCACTAGGCACTCGAGTACCCTAGGGTAGCCGCCTTGGCAGCAATCCAGCGCATGACACATGGCGAAGGCTGACAGTCGCGTCCCCTCATGCCTCCCCGCCGGCACGTGTCCTCAAGCCTGGACACCCGACGACGAGGAAGGACTCGCGTCCCCGCCGAACACGAGCCGGAGAGCTCTTCCTCCACAGGCAAATCTCTCCTCCCCGTCACAATGTCATCAAGTCCTCGCTCCCTCCCTCAGAGCTACGACTTGGGGGGCTCCTGTTCTGGCCTGGACCCCGGCTTGGCCAGGCAGGCCCAGCCCAATAATATCCTGCCAAGCCCTGTCCAGCTTGGGCCGTGTTAGATGCCCAATTATGCTTATTTGAGCTATCAAATGTGGGCATCTTCCGCTCCTTTTTGTCTAATTTCGGTTCAAAACTGCCTTGCTTTTGTTGATATGCGATATGATGTGAAATGCTCTTTGTCCTTTTAATTTGTGTGTTATTGTGCAGTATTTGAGCATGAAAGAGTGAAATTTGAAGACACAAGAAAGTTGACAAAGGAATTAAGAAAGAACAAGAGCAAAAGCATGTTCGCTAGGCGAACATCTGAGGAGTGTTGCAGCGAGTTGTTCGCTAGGCGAGCCCATAGCGAGCTGCTAGCGAACACTCCCAGACTTGGGCAGAATCAAAATGGCATTATTCGCTGGCAGCGAGGCAGGTGGCGAAGAACTCGATAGGCGAGCACCTAGTGAGCAAGTAGTGAAGCATTCCAGAATCTTTTCCTCGGCCCTCGCTAGCATGTTCGCTAAGCGAAGCTGTAGCGAACGTTCGCTATTAGCTCGCTAGGCGAATGAAGTCGCGAGCGTGACAGGACAACAACTTTTTCTATATATAGCCCTTTGTACTTTTTTAACAATACATTATTTTTTCACTGGTTTTGCTGCATAAGAGATTTTGTGACCTAGAAACCCTCTATCTCTTATTTTTCTTCATTGCTAAACATTAATCTACAAAAAGAAGGTGGATTCTCATCCAAGTTGGATTCTTTGACTCGGATGTTCATCAACCTTCTTCCAAAACTTCTTTTGCAAGCTACCATGAAAATGAGTAGCTAAGTTCTTCATTTTGTCAAGGTTAGATGTAGGTGATCATTAAGCTTTGTAAGTATATGGATGATCTTCATTTGTAAACTCTTGGATGATGAATATATGGTGAAAACCTTGCTTTATCTATAACTTTTTGTGTTGGTTTATGATCGAAAGATATTTTCCAACTCTTGACCTAGGTTTTCATCCTTCTATTTTCTTAAGCTAGAAATAGTTTCGAATGTGGTTGTTCATAAAAAATGTTAAACCTAAATGTTGTCATTTTGATAGATTGTGTGAGAAATCAACAATGGATCAAAATGGGAAAAATCACAATGTGAGTTAGAAATAATCACATTGGGAGGATGTTGTGGATGTGTTTATCATCTAAAGGAGTTTATGCATATTGTTGATCGGACATATACAAGCAACGTGATCACCGAACCATAACTTTGACAATCTTCATTAAATCGTAAAATCAATCTTTTAATGCGATTCATTACCTTTTTTGCAAAGACATCGTTACTAAAAACCAAACCCCTTTTGTTACTAAAAAGTTAAGAACTCGATAACTGTCGAACTGCGACAATATCTCATATTCCATGTGGAGACGATAACAAAAACCCGACACTCAACCATTGTCACTTAACAGGCTGCAGCCTCCGAGCACAAGTTCCCCGGCGGACAGGTAATGCCCCCCTCGCGGGCAGAACCTGCCCATCTTGTCGAGTGCAAGACTCTCCCATCAACCAGACACTGCCCTCTCCGTGGGCGGGACCTGCCCCTCCGCGGGCAGAACCCGCTCCCCTGTCGGGCATGACAACGTGTCCTTCACACGTTCTCCACGTGCCCCCCTCCGTGGGGACACGTCACCAACCAACTGCCCACCTCCGAAAGAGCAGATCAAACCCACTTTCCGGAGATCACGGGACAGTTGGACTAGGGCGAAGACCACGTCCTGGTCTTCACTATGCCACGTAAGCCCTAACAGTCACCTGGGATGGGCCTGGCAATCCAGCCTAACACAAGTGACCGTTGGCCCAACGCTGGGGTCTCTCTATAAATACCCTCTCTCACAAGAGGGTCAGGTAATTCACTTCTTACCTCTTTTCTGTACTTGTGATCACTCTACCCATACACTTACTTTAGCATCGGAGTGTCTTACAGGTACACCCCCTCCTCTTCTTCTATACCGGTGAGCAGGTAACAAGTCGAAGGCGCGTGGCAGCTAGCGATCCCTTTCTGATCATGTCAGATCAATTCAAAATATATCTTATTTCGGTGTAACAATGTAGAAATATTAAAAATCATGTATAAATATGTATAAACATTAATATATTTAAAGTTTTCTATATATATATATATATATATATATATATATATATATATATATATATATATATATATATATATATATATATATATATATATATATATATATATATATATATATATATATATATATATATATATATATATATATATATATATATATATATATATATATATATATATATATATATATATATATATATATATATATATATATATATATATATATATATATATATATATATATATATATATATATATATATATATATATATATATCAATAAACAATAATCACAATGTAATAAAACTTTATTATAATATAAAGAATATTCTTTTTTAATAAAAAAAATTCTTTGTTTTATATTTTAATATGATTCAAGATATATCTTTTTTTTAATCAAAAGGAAGTTGAAATAATTCAAAAAAAGCAGTACAAGTACAAAGACACAAAGACCAAATGAAAAATACAAAAAACACTCATAAGTCATCAAGTGAGCAATGTGCGGCCTAAGTTTCTGGTTATACCACCTCCTATAAACAATCATATCTATAATATTATCACCAAATTTTTTCTTATCTATAACATTACCGTAAGAAATGTCATTACGGTATTTTCATACACCATAAACAATTTTCGTTATAGCTAGTTTCAGGATATACTTATTTTAAAGTAACAACATAAAAATATTAAATATAAATATATTTAAATTATGTATAAATATATAAATATATATAAATAGTAATATATTCAAAGTTTACTATAAATAGATAAATATACTATAAACGTATATATACTTATATATATATATATATATATATATATATATATATATATATATATATATATATATATATATATATATATATATATATATATATATATATATATATATATATATATATATATATATATATATATATATATATATATATATATATATATATATATATATATATATATATATATATATATATATATATATATATATATATGTATGTATGTATTAATGAATATCAATAAACAATAATCTAGGCATAATAATATATTAGATAAATAATCAAAATTTCTTTAAAATATATTATTTAAAATATATAATAATGGACATAATAAATAATCAATTTTTTTTAAAATATATTATTTTTAATATTTATAAATATAAAAATTCGTTTTTATATAAAGAATATTTTTTTTCCAGAACTTTAAGCAAATTTTATATTTTATAAAAATTCTTATGTCTATTCAAAATATTAATGGAATATGAGTACTGATTAAACCAAAAATATATATATTAAAATAAATATAATATTATTTTATTTGAATAAAAAATAATAGAATTTGCTTAGAATTATAAAATATTATATTTTGAAATAAAATTTGCTATTAATAAATATTAAAAATTTCTTTAAAATCTAATATTTTTAGTATTTATAAATATTAAACTTTATTTTTAAAAAAAGAAAATTCTCTGATGACGAAACGGGGACGTGGGCGGCCGAGAACCGCAGTGCCACCGTCACCGGTGAATCATGCCCTACTGGAGAATCAGCCGAAAGCGGAGAATGTGAAATTGAAGGAGGTAGAGCGAACAGACGATCATGAAGATACTAGCGATGAGAAAGCCGATAGAAATAATGAAGAACAACATGTACCAGAAACCCAAATTGTGAAGGAAAGCGAGTCTGAAATCCTAATTATGAAAGAAAAGCATGAAGAATGGAAGCTATGGATGGATGTACTCAGTGATAATCGTAATCCTGCAAAGGGGATTTATGTGGAGTATGTGGCGCCTAAAATCGCCAATGGTGAAATGGAATTCGAAATTGAAGAAGAAGATGTAGAAACATAAATCCGATTTTAGGGGAATGCTCTAATCTTATATGTGATGGATGATGATCTGAGTATGAACACGGTAAAAGATTACATGGTGAAAACATGGAATTTCGTGAGTACACCATATCTTTATTATCATGATAAGGGATATTTCTTGATTCGCTTCAATTCCTTTGAAGATAGAGAATCAATGATGATGAAGGGGCCATACACCACCAGGAACATGCCTGTGATCTTGAAGGAATGGTGCCCAGATTTCAATCTGAAGAAGGATTTGTTGTAAACACTACATATCTAGGTAAAGCTTCCCCAACTTCCACTGCATCTATGGGGTGTGAAGAGTTTGAAAAAAATAGGTATTACAATAGGAAATCCTTTGGTTACTGACGAATGCATTGCAAACAAGTTACAAGTGTCGTATGCGCATATTATCGTAAAGGTTAACATAACACAACAACATGTTAAGGAGATTTCCATCAAAGATGTTGAAGGAAGAGTGCTAAAGCAAGAAGTTGATTATGAGTGGAAGCCCTTTTTTTGCGAGAAGTTCCAGAAGATAGGACACCAATGCAATACACAGAAGAAGTTGCAGCAATGGAGACCAAAAAGGAAGCCCCCTAATGAAAACCTGAAGTGATCCTAGCAAGATAAAATGAGAAGGCTGAAAAGGAGAATCTGGAAGTTGAATAAAATGAAGAAATACCATGGACTGTGGGGAGAAGAAATACTAGAGATAAAGGTAAAAATCTTGGTGAATCAACATCTGGTATTAAATGTGTCAATGGCTTTGAGGCTCTAGAGGTTTTGAATGACCATCTATGTTAGAACAAGATTTGATTCTGCTCATTATCTTTAAGTTTTGATAATAGCAAAGTAGTATTTGTATGATAATAATTTTGGTACTCTAATGTTTATTTTTCTAAAGGATTAACAAACATGTTCTGACTCTGATAGAAACCATATACAATGAAAATCTGGTTTGACCAAAAGTCGCTTCTGCACCAAAGAAGCAAGTCTGCTTCTGATCTACTCACATTCAAAAAGATTCTAAGAAGACAATATGTTGCTGCTGCAATACTCTCTTGGATTCTAGTTCTGAGCGTGACTCTGATGTGTTACTTCTGAAGGTTGTCTAGCTTCTGAAGTCATTATCTTCTGAAGACTAAGTGCTGAAGACTTTTAAGACAAGGTTCTGCTGAACAAAGTTCCGAAGACTCTGAAGAATTGAGTTTCTGAAGATTAAGTGCTGAAGACTCTGAAGACAAAGTTCTGCAGAATGACATTATGAAGACTTTGAAGACTTAAGTTACTAAAGACCAAGGGTTCTAAAGATTAAGTGTTGAAGACTCTGAAGACAAAGTTCTGCTGAACAACATTCTGAAGACTCTGAAGACTTAAGTCACTAAAGGCCAAGGGTTTTAGAGGCAGAGTGCTTAAGACTCAGAAGACAAGGTTCTGGTGAACGAGTTCTGAAGACTCTGAAGACTCAAGCCTCTAAAGACCCAACGGTCAACTCTTCTACTCATGCTTCAATCATCTCTATTCAGAAGCCTCTGATGTACAGAAGATAAGATCAAACGTTTACGAGGGAAATAATACATAGTACATATCAAACATGTATATTCCACTACACTGATTTAGTGGTACAAAGGACAACTTTTGTGTACGATTTTCATTCCTGCGTAATGATATTATTTTAAGTCGCCAGCTTTTTAAAGGATATTCCTTATATACCTTCCAACAGATCTTTTTCTGGCTATATAAGGACTTGATTACTTGAAGAAAATAAGAAGAATGAATGACAAGAATTAAACGATCTATGAAGAACTAAAGCAATAGTATTGAAGCATCACAATACAAAGTAAGAACATTGTTCATACTGTAAAAGTTTCTTTAAGTCATTTGAGCTATTAATAGTGTTTATATCTGCTTGTGTAGAAGCAATTCATTGTAAAAAAATTTGTTCAAACAATTGTTTGTAATTTCTTAAGGGACCAGTTAGGTCAGAATCCTTAAGAAGAGACAATTAGTCTTTTTGTTGTTAGTCACCAGCGGTTGATAGTGCAGTGTAATAAATTGATTATAGTGGATTAAGTCCTTGTGTATAAGGCGAAATCACCTTGGCGGATGGACTGGATTAGCTTGGTAGTTTTCAAGTGAACTAGGATATATCGTGTGTTTTTCTGTCTTGTTAGTATCTTTGTGGTCTTTGTTTGAGTTTCGAAAAAGCTTTCATTTTTGAAAACCCAATTCAAACCCCCATTTCTTGTGTTTTCTCACACCTTCAATTAGTATCAGAGCTTGGTTCTGATTGTGATAAAAGTTTTTATCAAAATTCACTGTGTTCATTACCGATTCAGTATTTGTGTGAGATATCATGGTTGCATCTAATGCTAATCATATTCAAGAAGACAAAGATAATTACAGTGCCAAACCACCAGTCTTTGATGGTGAAAAGTTTGACTACTAGAAAGACAGAATTGAAAGTTTCTTTCTTGGTTACGATGTAGATCTTTGGGATCTTGTAGTTGATGGCTACACTCACCTAGTTGATGCTGAAGGAGTAAAAGTATCAAGAAGTGCTATGACAAATCAACAAAAGAAAGAATACAAGAATCATCACAAGGAAAGAACTATATTGTTGAATGCTATTTCTTATACTGAGTATGAGAAAATAACAAATAGAGAATCTGCCAAGTCTATTTTTGATTCACTTCAAGTGACTCATGAAGAAAATGCTCAAGTAAAGGAAACAAAGGCTCTTGCCCTAATCCAAAAATATGAAGCCTTCCAGATGGATGATGATGAATCTATGGAAACTATGTTTTCAAGATTTCAGATGCTGGTAGCATAACTCAGAATGTTAAACAAAGGATACTCTACTACTGATCATGTCAAGAAGATTATCATAAGTCTTCCCAAGAAATGGAGACCTATTGTAACTGCTCTAAAGCTATCCAAGGACCTGAATAGTATAAGTCTTGAAGAACTTATTGCTCTCAGAAGAAGAGTAAATCTATTGCTCTTAAGTCTAGGTCTGAAAAGGCAAAGGCTTATCAAGCTAAGAAAGAATCAGAATATTCTGATGAAGACTCAGAAGATGATCTATCACTTATCTCCAGAAGAATCAACAAAATCTAGAAACATATGCAAGGGAAGTTTAGAGGATCAAGAAGAAACAATGGTCGCTCTGACTCATCATTCGGACAGAAGAAGCAGAGTTCTAGAAAAGAAGTCATCTGCTATGAGTGTAATGAGTCAGGTCATTACAAGAACGAGTGTCCAAAGCTTAAGAAAGATAAGAAGCCTAAGAAGAACTTCACCAAAGTCAAGAAGGGACTTATGGCAACTTGGGACGACTCTGATTTTGAAGAAGAAGAGTCTGATGAAGAACGGGAAAATGTTGCACTAGTGGCAACAATAATTAACGCTGAAGTATCTAGAGAACCAGAAGACAAAATTCTATGAGAATCAGAATTAGACTCATACTATGGCTCAGAGATATCCTTAGCAGATCAGTTGAAACACCAATCATGGTACCTGGACAGTGGTTGCTCGCGACACATGACGAGAAGAAGGAATATGTTCCAAAGTCTGGAACTTAAGCCTAGAGGATTCGTTGGTTTTGAAGGAAACCAGAAGGTTAAGATCATTGGCTCTGGAACTATTGGTAATGGTAAACTTCCTTCTATTATTAATGTTCTTCTGATCGATGGTTTGATGCATAACTTATTTTTAATTAGCCAACTTAGTGACAATGGTTATGATATCATTTTTAATCAAAAGTCCTGTAAGGATGTTAGTCAAAAGGATGGAGAAATCCTTTTTAATGGAAAGAGGAAAGACAACATTTACAAAATCAAACTTTCTGATCTTAAGGACTAGAATTTTAAATGTATAATGTCTGTAAATGAAGAGCAATGGGTACGACATATACGTTTGAGCCATGTTAGCATGAGAAAGATTTCTCAGCTAAATAAGCTTGAATTAGTTAGAGGCTTACCAAATTTGAAGTTTTCTTCAGATGCTCTTTCTGAATCATGTCAGAAAGGCAAGTTTTCCAAAACCTCTTTTAGAGCGAAAAATATTGTTTCTACTTCTAGACCATTAGAACTTCTGCACATTGATCTATTTGGTCCAGTGAAAACTGTCTCAATCAATGGTAAGAAATATGGATTAGTCATCGTAGATGATTATAGTCATTAGACATGGGTAAAATTCTTGAAACACAAGGATGAGTCGCATTCTGTGTTCTCTGCCTTTTTCTCACAAGTGCAAACAGAGAAGGATTGCAAAATTATCAGAGTCAGAAGTGATGATGGTGGAGAATTCGAGAGTAGATATTTTGAGAATCTTTTTGATTCCTATGGAATTTCTCATGATTTCTCCTGTCCCATTACTCCATAAAGAATGGAGTAGTGGAAAGGAAGAATAAGACTTTGCAAGAAATGGCAAGCGCTTCTAGGCAGAGGTAGTAAACACAACATGTTATATTCAGAACAGGATTTCTATCAGACCTATTCTGGGTAAGACTCCTTATGAATTATGGAAGAATAGAAAAACCAACATTTCTTATTTTCATTCTTTTGGTTCTATTTGCTTTATGTTGAACACTAAAGAGAATCTTGGCAAGTTTGATTCCAAAGCTCAAAAGTGTTTGTTGTTAGGATACTCTGAACGCTCTAAAGGCTACATAATCTATAACACAAAAACACAGATTATTGAGGAATCAATTCATGTTAGATTCGATGATAAGCTTGACCTTGAAAAGTCAAAGCTAGTTGAAAAGTTTGCAGCTTTGAAGATTACTTTATCAGAATCCAAGGAGGAACATTCTAACAAAGGAGATAAAGTTGCATAAACTACATAATCAGATACAAATTCACCAGAAACAACAAATAATCCATCTCATCAGAAGAAGAATAAACTAAAGACTTCTCATACTGAAAAATTGATTCTGGGAGACAAAGTTGATCCAGTCAGAATGCGTTCATCATTCAAACCATCTAAAGAAAC